TTACCATTAGTACACAAAATTATATTGGTTTCAGATGTACAACACAGTGATTACACATTTAGATAATTTATGAAGTGATCACCCAAATAAATCTAGTATCTACTTGACACCATACATAGTTATTACAATATTATTGATTATATTCCCTTTACCTTCCTGTGACTGTTTTTATAACTGGCAATTTGTACATCTTAGTCCCTTCCCTTTTCAAACTTCCTCCCAAACCCTCTTCCATCTGGCAACCATCAATTTGCTCTATCTATGAGTTTCTGTTTTCTTTGTTTGTTTATTTTTTTTAGATTCCACATATAAGGGAAATCATATGATAGTTATCTTTCTTTTCTGACTTATTTCATTTGGCATTATACCCTGTAGGTCCAGCCATTTTGCAAATGGCAAAATTTCTCTCTTTTTTAAATAAAATTTAGGTGTTTTGATTTTAATCCAGTGCTCGCTTCTTTCTACACATTGAAACTTCACATACTTGTATATTAGCAAAAAGACTGTAAATAAATAACTTTTATAATGTGTAGATTAAATAAATATATAATGAATGTACAAGTAAATATTCATTATAAATTTATTTTATATTTATATATACTTATAAACATATAAGTATATTCAGTGTATGTTTTCATATTAATATAAAATGTATAAAATTTCATTCTCTTTTATGGCCAAGTAATAGTTCATTATATATATCTTTTTTATCCATGTATCTGTTGATGGGTATTTAGGTTGCTTCCATATCTTGGCTATTGTAAATAATGCTGCAATGAACATAGGGGTGCATATGTCTTTTTTAATTAGTGTTTTGGATTTCTTTGGATGAATATCCAGAAGTGGAATTGCTGGGTCATAAGGCAGTTCTATTTTTAATTTTTTGAGGAATCTCCATACTGTTTTCCATAGTGGCTGCAAGAAAGAGCCACAGTTTTGCTGGGTGTCCTGGTCTGTATCTATGTGAATCCACTACATCTATATAAACGTAAATGTTAATGTGTATATAAATATATAATTACACATACAGGATCATACTATACATTCTGTTCAATAGAATTCTTTTTCTGCTCAGCAGCATATTATGTCAGTAAAACAAAATGTTCATTATCATTTGAAATTACTCTATGGTATTCTATTGTAGATAAATTCCATAATTTATTTAGACCATCCCCTATTGCTGGAAATTTGAGGTATAATCACATTTTTTTTCTCTCATAAACTCTGCTCGTGTAAATATCTTTTATCAGCCTAGTTGGATACGTTAGCAGAGGTTCTTATCATGGCATAGGGCGATTTTTATTTTCCTTCCTCAACAGCAAATATTACCACTGGTCTTGTTCTAGGGAGCTGCCTTTGTGTAACAGATAAATAGCACTTGAGGTTCTGAAGAAGTCTGAGATGTTCACATAATAGTACCTGTTTATAGAACTTCCTACCTAAATCTGACTCAGCAGCAAACAACACAAGAGAAAGCTAAGCCGAAAATATATGTATAGCGTTAATAAGCTGTGGATCTTGGTATTGGGTCATCATGTACATATAAAATGGCCCAGACATTTTTTAAGAATATAGATAAAAAAAATAATTAGAAAATAAGAAACTGGGAACAAGAAATAGTAATTTCTCATTTTCCTTTCCAATTCATTTTACATCATACATAGATAACTAGTGATTCCCAATTACCTCCTTCCATACCTGAGTTATTTCATTGGGCGATGTCAAGGGCCACATAGATAAGTAAAGTGCTAAATTAGTTTTAATAAAATGTATTCAGAATTCCCAAGCAAAATTGGAGGAAGTCTTAGCCAGTGAGTTCAGCTTGTCTGTGAACATATCACGTTTGTTGAGAACCTACTATGTTTCAGTAGGAAGAATAGTCCAGGCTTCCTGATCTGCTTCTAGACACAGTCTGAACCGCGAGGGGCATCAGGTCGCTGCTTGGGCACCATTGTTTAAGAATCTGGATTTCTACAACTTTAATTTTCAAATGTTTACTGATAGGACATCTGAACAATCTATGTTCATTTTAGAAAAACAAGAAAAATAAGGAAGATCATGATCCTCTTTTCAGTTTGACCTCTGAGTTACCTGGAGCAATGGTTAATCTCTCTGAGCCTCCATAAAATTGGGATTAAAATTCCCACTTTCGCCCTGGCCGGTTTGACTCAGCGGTGAGAGCGTCGGCCTGCGGAACAGAGAGTCCCGGGTTCGGTTCCCGCTAAGGACACGTACATCAGTTGCAGTTTGTCCCCGCCCTGGTTGGGGTCATGTGGGTGGCAACCAGTCGATGTGTCTCTCTCACATGGATGTTTCTCTTTCTCCCTTCCCGTCTCTCTCCCTTCCGCTTTATCTAAAAATAAATGCAAAAAAAAAAAAAAATTTTTTTTAACTTTAAAAAAATGCCCACTTCCAGCCTGGCTGGTGTGGCTCAGTGGTTGAGCATCGACCCATGCACCAAGAGGTTGCTGGTTCAATTCCCGGTGAGGGCACATGCCCAGGTTATGGGCCAAATCCCCAGTGGGGGGCATGCAGGAGGCGACCAATGATGTTCTCTCTCATCGATGTTTCCATCTCTCTCTCCCTCTCCCTTCCTCTCTCTCTAAAAATCAATAAAGGAAAAAAAGTTTTTTTTAAATGCCCACTTTCTACTCTCCACTTCACAGCAAAATTCCTCGTATTTAAGCAAGAAAATGTTAATTAGTAAGAGTTTTTTTTCATTTCTTTGAAGCTGCTGGGATGTCCAAGGTAGCCTCACAACACATTTGCACTTGATCATTTTGGTATTTATATTAAGTTTTTATAATGCTGTATTTATATTCACGGGCAAGTCAACTCCCCGTTATCTATTTTTAAATATTTCTTTGGGTTCGTACTTGAGCTGAGGTTGACTTCCTCCCGCATCTCAGCCCATTTTTAAGGTGGGTTGTTACTGGAAAGTGCTATGTTGGGCATTCGAGGAAGGCACCTCCCAGAAAACTTCCTCTGGGCCTCTACCTCCCGTCTCTTCTGCTCGCTCCTTGGCTCTTTTGCTGGCCCTGGCACTGCCCTTCCCTCAACTTGCTCGCCCTCTTTGCAGCTCTTCAGTCTCTTCCTTCTGCCCTTGAGCATGGCATTCCATTCTCTCTGCAGTCAGCCCCCCTTCTCTTTTCTTCCCTGTCAGGGTCCTTTCTCTCCCACCAGTGGTTTCATGGGAATCGTTACCCTGGCCACTTGGGGTGTCTGCCCAGTGGCCCACAGTGCTCCCATTTCGGGGCTAGCCGAGATCTCTGCTAGGCCTCCCCATTTGTGGATAGGCTGAGACAAAAGACAGGGTTGTCCCCGCCTCCTCCCCGGCCCTATTACCTGTGTTTGACCCCCTCCTCCTCTAGACGCCATGACCTCTTTCATTATTACATGGGATACTGATATGAGGATGTCAAATTGTTTGGGGACGTTTCAATACTAGTCTGAAGCCACCAGGCCTCATTACCAGTACACAATGACACCAACATGTAAGCGTGACTTTTCCTAGAAACATCTCAGCAGATATTCAGCAGTTCCCCAAGAGGGAGGACAACAACCCTGTCCTGTAGGAATTCTCGGCTCTGGTCTTTAAAAAAGCATAGAATTTTCCCCATCGTTTTTGGGGTTGGGTCAGTCAAAATGGTAGCACAATGAAGATACCTGGAATGGTCCTAAGTAGGAAGCTCAGGGTCCCAAAACATGAGTTCATGGAGTCGTTGAGTCTCTGTGTATGGGTGGTCCCCAAGATCATCCTCCGGCTTGATGATTCACTAGGAGTCACAGTACTCACAAAAGCTCTTATATTCGTAATTACAATTTATTACAGAAAAAGGATGCCAATTAAAATCAGCAGAGGGGCCCAGCCAGTGTGGCTCAGTGGATTGAGCATCATGCCATGGACTGAGAAGTCCCAGTTCGATTCCCAGTCAGGGCACATGCCTGGGTTGTGGGCTCAATCCCCAGTAGGGGGCGTGCAGGAAGCAGCCAATGGATGTTTCTCTCTCACATTGATGTTTCTATCTCTCTCTCCCTTTTTCTCTCTCTAAAATAAACTAAAAAAACAAAAACAAAAAACATATTTTGAGAAAGAAAAAAAACCAGCAGAAGGAAAGGGTGCATGGGGCAAAGTCTAGGAGAAACCAGGCACCAGCTCCCGGGTGTCCACCCCCAGTCACATCCCACGTTACTGCGTGCTTAACTTTTCCAGCAACAAATTGCAACAACACATGCAAAGCATTATAGACCAGGACGCTCACCCAGCCTGGTGTCCATGGTGCTCACTGGGGTCAGTCACACAGGCATGCACCCACCGCCTGTATGACTAACCTCAGCTACTCAGACTCCAGCCTCCCGGGGCAAAAATAGGTGTTCAGCATAAATCACATCGGTAGCACAGCTATCTGATTACACTGGCACCCTGTGGCCCAACGCCTCAGGCATACAAAACATTCATCAGGCAGGCTATTACGAGGACTCAGAGCTCATCCCTTAGGAGCCAGGTTTGAAATCAGGTCCTTCTTGGGAATGGGCAGAAATTGAGCCATCCAATGCTGCGTTAACCCTCTCCTGCTCGCGTTCTCTGGATCCAGACACGGGGAGGCTTTGGCCACAGACAGCACTTCTGGCATCTCAGCTATTACCTTCCAAAAATAACATCCTGTCTACCTTCCACATAGATACACTGTGATTTATAACAATAACCACTGAACTATTTTCAAAAACAGCAGGCCATCTGCAGCAAGGACACATTATCATCATCGTCGTCATCATCACCATCATAATTACTATTGTCATATTGTATTATTATCATAATCACTGTTATTCAGGGGGTGGAGGCATGGAAATGAGCCCTAATGCTCCCTTGTGATCTCAGAACAAGTCAGAAGTGCTTTCTTTCAGATTCCGAAGATCAAGACAACTTCGGAATCGTGTGCCTCCTCTCCAGCCGGGGTTTAACCTTGTCCTGTCTTCCTCTCTCTCCCTGTCCCCGGCAGTGGCTCCGAAACCCAGGCCCTCAGCATGAGAAGCGGACTCTGTTCGGAGACATGGTGTGCTTCTTGTTCATCACACCACTGGCCACCATCTCGGGCTGGCTGTGCCTGCGGGGCGCCGTGGACCACCTGCACTTTAGCAGTCGGCTCGAAGCCTTCGGACTGATTGCACTCACTGTGGCACTCTTCACGATTTACCTCTTTTGGACACTAGTAAGTATGGCCACGGCCCCGGGATTCGGGCCAGCGGGAGCTGGCAGCCCCGCGGCTGGCACAGCCTTCCCTCTCGTCGGGATCACGTCTCACCTGCCCGATTCGGGCTGGCGAGAGTGTGTGATTGGGTTTGCACCACTTATGAGACAGAGTGAGTGTGAGTGTGTGTGTGTGTGTGTGTGTGTGTGTGTGTGTGTGACACATGAGCAGGCACGTGCTGCTGGGAAGAGCAGATCAAGTAAAGAAAAAACACCCGCTTCTGAGAGCCCGTCAAAGACTCACACCCCGTACGTTTCTCTCCCCGCCTCGTCCAGGCTCCATCTGTTATGAGGCGTTTTCCTTTTCTTGCTTATGTTCCTCATTTGTGCTGGGATCACAGTGTATGGTGAATGATGCACTTGGCCCCTGCTGCTGCGGCTGCCTGAGCAGGTCATGACCCTCCTGCTGGTTAGTTCCTTATGTCCTGACCCAACTGAAAGCCTTCGCTGGGCCTGGAGCAGCCGTGTGCCCTGGGGTGATCCTATGCTGGGATACCGGCTCTGCTGAGAAGCCCCCATGAAGGAAACCCATTTCCCAGTGTGTCCCACTGGACATGAGGAAGACTTTAAAGCTCTCCGGGTCGTTCATTCCTTTAACTTGTGAATGAGTTGACTGCTCAGGCAGCAGTTGGCAGCACCCACAAAGTGCAGCATTTGATCTCTCTATGCTTCCCCCCCCCCCCCGGGGCCTGCGTAGTAAAACGTCACTATCTAGAATATTTTCAGAAATTGGACCCCCTGCTTCCTGGCATTCCTCTCTGTGCCTGCTGGTTTCTAATCTGAGCACGTTCCATTGTTATTCAACAAGTATTTCCTGTCTGCGTGTCTGTTCCCTTGCCGTGGCCCAGCGTCAGACTATGGAAGCTTCCACTTCCTCCCCAGCCCTGCCCACCACAGCCATTCCTGCCAGTGACCACAGCCCCCTGCTCATTTCCCGCTGCTACCTCCCCTCGGGTGAGAGTGCACGCACAGTAAGTGGGGGGCACATTCCAGCCTCAGCAAGAGGGACCTGGCTTGAGCCTTGGTAAATAGGGAGCGTTCTGATGTTTCGGACCTTGTCTGAGCCCTCCGGTTAATTTGGGCATCTGTTCCAGCCTAATGGAGCCCCCAAACAAAGCTAGTATTGCTTCTTTTAAAAGTGTATGCTTCCACCCTGGCCGGTTTGGCTCAGCGGTTGGCCGTCGGCCGGCGGACCAGAGAGTCCCGGGTTCAGTTCCCGCTAGGGGCACGTACCAAAACAAAAACAAAAAAATAGTGTATGCTTCCAAAGTATATCCTAATTCATTACAAAGCAAGTGATGAAGCTGACCCAGAATTCACAAGGACGTTGCAATGGGAAGAGTTAGAAATAGGTTAAACGGTCACTAGCACCGGCTAAAGTCAGTGCTGCTCTGGGCCTCGGTGCTCCCTCTGGGAAGTGGAGATGGTGGCGGCAGCCGTCCCGCCAACTTCCCTTGTGCTGTGAGATGGAAGTGAAGCATGCAGGGGGGAAATACTCTGGATAATAATGTTTTACCACGATTAGAGGTTTACTTGTCAACAGTTTTTCTTAGAAGAGTTCCTAAAATGAAGGTATAGATTTGAATACTGGCTTTCAAACCAACTGAAGCCCTTTTTGAAGACTAGCTTCGTAAAGCATCCCTTTGCCTACCAAGGAAGAAAGGGAGGAAGGACGGGGACATAGAAGGAAGAAAAGAGTTACCCAAAGAGAAATAGATGTGGCCCTGTCTGAGCTCCCCTGCAGGTGAAAGGAAGGGAGGGTGAGAAAGGTACCTGGAGTCGGCCCTTTCAGGAGAGAGAATGTACTTTGTTCCAGAAATACTTCCAAGAGACAGTGCACATACTAAAAAGCACATGTGTTTAGGAGCCAAAGGCCCTGTGTTTAATCCCCAAATTTAGCATCCTAATAGCTGTGCAACTTTAAACAAGGTACTTAACCTCTCTGATCATCTTTCCCCTTTTGCCAAAAAACAAAAACAAAAAAGGAGGAAATGACTGCTAACCCCTGGGTCAGTGGGCCATTGTGAGGATTAGATGGGATAACAGGGGAATAGGTATCAGAACACCTCACACAGACACCCTGGTTTTCTTCCTGTGACTTCCCTTCTCCCCCAACTCCCACCACCCCAGCCCTCTATAAAATGCAGAGTAGCCGGAGGGAAAGAAAGAAAGGCATTTATTTTTGCCCGTTGACTGGTGTGAAAACCGTGCTGCGGCGTCCGCTCCGCAATAGGCTCCAGAACGGAGGCTCACTCCTCCCAGGGAAATGCTGCGCTGAGCTGCCCTGGCAAGAGCCGTAATTCAGAAGCTGACAGCACTTGGAAACTGCCCTCCAGCAGAAACCCATTGTAAACAAGCTGTCAGGCTTAAGGAGAGTACGCTGTGAAAATGTCTTAGATAAACAAACACGGTGTCAGTCCAGCCCCGCTCCTCAGAGGAGCCTTCCCGGAAAGGCCCGCGGGCTCTGGGAAGAGGGACCCACATCCGCATTCGTGCTGTGCACCTAACTGCCTGTGGAGTTCCTCGCCCACTCACAAGGCCAGGAGGGCCCGGCCCTCACACCAACCGGGAGTTCTGCTTTCTGGAACCTGCTTTGCGGAAACACAAGCATCGGGGGCCCAGGAGGCCAGGGCCTCAGCTATCTCCACGCTGAGAGCTCAGGAGAGCGGTGCCCCAGAAACAGCACTGTTATGTCACACGCTGTTTGAAGCCCGTGGACAGACACCAAGAGCGCCAGAAGAGGGCTGAGTCCACAGTAAGCATTAGAAATTGTCCATAGTGGAATTCACAGGAGCCCTGGTTTAGAGGTGTAAGAATTGGGGGGGGGGGGCGGGGCACCACAGCTTAGTGATCACTGGCATTCCTTCTAGTCACTGGGTCATTGATGCAACCAGTGTCCAACACAGAAACTGTGTTCCATCCCAAAAGGAGATGAAGGAACCATCTGAGTCCCAGTCCCATGGGAAAAGCATATAAATTCTCGTTATAAAGGGGGGAAACCTCTAATAGAAAACTGTCCCCACAAAGCTCACTGTGGGGCTGATTTAGATACCCCCACGACAGTGTGCGGCAGTGCGAGGATGCTCAGTGTGATCCTGTGCTGGGTATTTCTCCCTGGCTCCGGCTGATGTACGCCCACCCAGTCCTCTCCTCTTGCATGATGCAGAGATCAGAGAGCTGGGCCCATCAGTAACCTCACGGTCACACCATAACCTGGAGAGGAAGGGCAGGATAAAACACGCAATGAGAAGATTTCCCAAAGCCTACTGTGACTTCACAACAAACACTGAGTGACTGCCTGTCACCAACCTGACCGGGAGAGGTGAGTGCCTCTCCTGCACCATCCACAGGACCATAGACCTTGGTGCAGACCTCGCCCAGGATAGGAGGTGAATAAATATCCTTTGGATGAAGAAATGAATGCTTGTCAAGAATCCCATCCCATGAGGGGTAGTTTGATTAGAATAGTGGCCCTGTGCTCTCCTGAAAACCTCAGAAATTCCAGAAATATATAAACAAAGTTCCCAATGCTCCTACTGCTACAGCTTCTTTCGGTGTATGTCTATTTTCCCCTCACTGCCCCTTTATTTCTCTAAATCTCCCTCCTTTTTCCCTGTTCCATTTCATTGCGGAGGGGGTGTCTCGGAGCTTCTAGAGAGGGAGCCGGCATTAACCCAGGGCAGCTGCGCACCGTGGTCCCCTCTGCACGGTGCCTGGCTTCCTTTGTCTTCCCTCGGACAGTCATCTGCATATGATGCTTTCTTCTTAGTGACTGGATTTGCCTGAAAATTGTCATAGTTAACAGCAATTAAGATAGATTAATGCATAATGAGATCTCATTTGTTTGTCTGAACAAGTGGGCTGATTTCTATACTTCCTGGCCAAGGAACCAGGAGACCTACCAAGTCGTGGACCCCTGTGTTCCTTGAAGCAGTGCTTCCCGGGCTGGAGGGGGTGGGCCAGGCACCGGGACATCGTGTGAGAAGGCAGGCTCCGATTCCTTCGTTCAGGGCAGAGCCCCGCATTCTGATAGTCTAACACGCTCTCAGGTGATGCCGGCTGACCCGCCACCACCCAGAGCGTCACCAAAGGAGATAGCCCAACCTACATCTAGGAAGTAGTGTCACAAAGTCATCCCGTCCACACTTAGCTCATCAAAAATAACAGGCCCAAAACTTTAACCTGTATGTGAGGCACTGTGCTAAGTGCCTTTTAAAATGATTTTGTTTTGTTTTTCAGTTACAGCTGACACACAATATCACTAGTTTCAAGTGTACGCCTAGGGATCAGACACTTTTATAACTTATGAAGGGATCACCCTGATGAGTCTGGTACCCACCTGGTGCCATACATGGTTATTACAATATTATTGACTATATATCCCCTGTGCTGTCTGTGCTAAGTGCTTTTTATGCATTATCTCAGATATCATTATTCACACTTACAAATGAGGGAACTGAAACTTGGAGACAGCAAGCAACCCTCCCAAAGGCATGGAGCCGCTAAGCGGAGGGAGGGATTCAAGCCCCATGTGCCTGGCCCCAGAGCCGAAGGCCTGTTCCCTACTCTGTGGAAGAAGCTGCTGCCCACCTGCTTCCTAATGCCAGGCATGCGTGGCTCTTTAACATTACAGATGGAAGGACTCTTGATTTGAAATTCGGCTTTCCTGCAATATGTCCAGATCCCAGACTCCTGGTACCGCCAGAGCTCTTCATTAGTGCTTGTCTGTGGTCTCCCTCTTGCCTGCGCTCGGCCCTGAGCAGCAGGCTTCCCACCTGCCTCTCGTACATTCATGATAGCACCAAGCAGCAGCAGGACAGAATAGATAAAAGAGAATCGAGCTTAAAAAATAAAAAGAAAAAAACCCTGATCGGCTTTGGCACATTAGGGCCTTTTGGAGAAAAGCACATCTGTGTGAGTTTAAAAGCTTATATTTTCATACCCAAATCTCTCTGGTGCTCAGTCTGTAGCATTTGCTTTCTAGCGTCGGAAATGTGAGTGAGTGGCCTTGAATTTCATGATCCTGCCATGAAGATTAACAAGCCCTTTCTGATCAAGGGCCTACATACACTCTCCATCACTTCTGCCAGCGCTGACCTCAAACCATTGGGTCGACCCACTCTCTGACCTTTACTGGGGCCAACACAATCCACCCACCCCAAAGGGTTGAACAGCTCTTACCTTCATTATCTCTCAGCCTGTGGCACCTTCCTTCCCAGTACTGAGTCATCTGGATGCACTCAAGCTGGATCCTGTCCCTATTTTTATTTATTTATTTTTTTCTTTATTGAGTTTAGAGAGAGAGGAAGGGAGAGGGAGAGAGAGATAGACACATCAATAAGAGAGAACATGGATTGACCGCCTCCTGCATGCTCCCCACTGGGCATCGGACCCACAACCTGGGCATGTGCCCTGACTGGGAACTGAACTGGCAACCTCTTAGTGCATGAGTCAACACTCAATCACTGAGCCACACCGGCCGGGCCCTGTCCCTAATTTTAAAGGGATTTTGTACATCTTCAAAAGTATAGGTGAGACTCTGCATTTCCTGGGTGGTGCATTAGTGCTTCATGCCAGCCTTCTCCAGAACAAACCATATGTAATCGTCTCGTTCCAGTATATTTAATATGAGAAGCACTTTGGGGGCACAGTCGTGTCACAGTTAACTGAGTTTACCATTCATAGCTTTGTGCATATGGAAGAGAAGCTTAAATCTTAAGCAGCGTGGCAATTAGAAAACATAGGATACTTCTTCACTCGTCCATTCACTCAGCAAACTTGACAGCGACTTCTCAGCGCCAGGCACTGTGATTTGGTGTAGGGCACACAAAGCTGTAAGCAGCACATGCTCTCCAGATGTTTTTCATGCCGGGGAGAAAGAAACAGGTACACTGGTGTACAGGCCACTTGATGCCACATTGAGGTAAGCCCAAGGCACTGTGGCTCAGGAAGAACGGACTAGGGGAGCTTGGTGCCCATGCCAGAGCCCCTTCTGGGAGCCATAGAATGTGGGAGCTGGAGGCAGTCAGGGCTCACCCATCAGGGCCACCCGGGACAGCACAGTACGAAAGATGCCCTTTCTGTCACAGTCAGCGTGAGTGGGGTCCTTTGAGTTGTGCAATGTCCAACCTGCAGAAGGGCACATGAAGTCCCAGCACCCCACCCGTCTAACAGAAACCTGAGGACCAGAAAGGCACACCGGGCACTGTCTGTGGCCTTCTGGTCCCGCAGCTGGGCAAGGGCTGGCACTAGACCCACCCTGCCTGCTGCTTCCAGCCAACCCTCTTCATCGCCGATGTTTTGGGACCTAAACACCACTGTCCACAAAATAAATCCAAACTCAGAAGAAACCTCATTTCCTAGCGATACCCTGCTTTTACCCAATTTGAACAGGAACGAAGGAAGCCACTCCACGAGCTGTGCCCACGTGTTCACACGCGGGTGCTCTTGGTTTGTCCCAGTATCCCACACTCAGCAGCATGCCGGCGGGCCCCCCCCCCCCCAGGGTCCTAGCTTCTGCTGCCGCTGTCAGGGCTCTTTTCAATGACATGCTTGTTTCTGGGATTGATTGTCAGCATCTGCTCACCTGAAACCTTCCCTTATTTCTCCTCTCCCAACCCCAGGTGTCATTTAGGTACCACTGTCGATTGTACAACGAATGGCGTCGGACCAATCAAAGGGTGATTCTTCTCATTCCAAAGTCTGTAAATGTACCTTCCAACCAGCAGTCTTTGCTGGGCCTCCATTCTGTCAAGAGGAACTCAAAAGAGACCATTGTCTGACATTTGAGTGGTCGGCTGGATGATTCATTGTTTGGGTTTAGAAGTTTCTGCGCTGGGGCCATGCACAGAGCCACCCTGAACCCTTCCTGAAGCCTGTGGGTCTGAGAACATCCAGAGCCATGTTAGCACATCGCCCCGAGCAACGACTCCGCGGGAGAAAGCGGATGCTGTTTCACTTCAAATCATGGATGCTGCACTCATGATACTTGCTAAGCTGCCAAACACGTTTATTTAGCAGATACTGTATGGAATCTTCCCAACACCTCTTTAACACATGAGGAAGGTCGTCCTGCCAAGGATGCAATTCAGTTTTTCCTTTTTTTTTATTACTTAGATGATAATCAAAATCGAAAAGCCAATGTTACCACTGGTTTCTTGGTTTCGTTGGATGAGTTTATTTGTTGCCGGCTTCTACTGTAGATTCTTTGGGGTCGTTGGCTAGCTTACGTGGTCTTTCTCATCTCTTCCATGTCCCACGCTCAAGGGGACGGCGTAACAATGCAGAACAAGTCATATTTGAAGGATGTTTTGTACTAAATCTCATTTAATTATTCAGACTTTAAAGGAAAAAGAGGTGTGGCAACTCTCCCCACAGTGAGCTGTTTATTTAAATTTCATTAAGGAGAATATATATATATATATATATGGTGAGAAGCAGGCTCCTGTCAACTTGTTTGGTACTGACAACTGATAGAAGCTATTTTCTAATAATAAACATCCGGTGTGTGAAAGACAAACCCCGCTGATTGCAATACTTTCTTTTTTAATCATAAAACCTGTGAAGTTTCCCAAAGTAGATTTGAAAAAGGCAAAGGAGAGAGGTCGATGTCCTCACTCCCAAATCGTTCAGTGCATGTCTTAATTCCGCATTCGCAGTGACTTGGAGGCTCATTAGACATTTCTAGGAACCCTGAACCTGTTTTGCATAGCAATTAGCGTTCCCATTGCTCTATTGAATTTCCAGCCTGACAGGTAGACATGGCAAAAAAAAAAAAGCCTGCCCTGGCCCTCCCAGACCCCTTTGTCTCAGTTTCAAAACACAGAGCCCCACAGAGTACCTTCCCCCAGCCTTGAGCCAATTCTGTCGGCCGAGATGGACCTTTTCGAAGGGCTCCATGTCCCTCTCTTCTGTGTGGCAGGGTACGGGCAGTGAAGCCCGGGCAGATGTAGGGCGAGGAAGCGCCTGCCCCCAGCAGTCCTCAGCCGCCTGCTGCCCGCCCACCCACAGCCCGCGGAGAGGGCGGAGCCCGGCGTGGGGGAACGCTTAAATATGGATTTCTAGAACATGACCCACATTCCTAATATCACTGCCGCGTCTGCCTTCTGCTCCCCGCGTGGGAGAACAGAGAGTGCAGAGGAGCGGGCAGTGAGGAGGGGAGCGATTTCGTCTGCAGATTGATGAGCTGATGCAGGTGCTGCCTTTGTCTGCAGAGCCCGGCACTCAGACTGCTCCCCGCACTGCCTGGGGAGGGAAACAGCTGTGCTGCTCTCCGCTGCAAAACTCAGATGTGCTTTATGGCTTGTGACAATAGATTTCCTCCCACCCCGCCTCACTTCGACACTTCAATTCCAGTAATATACGTCTCAGGCCTTCTGTTTACTCGGCCCTGCTCACCCCTCTGGGCTGTCATTAGCTGCACCACCATCAACCGTTTCTTAATTGACCTTTTTAAAATGCTGGACACCACTGGCTGCATGCAGCTGTCGCACATTAAATTTCCAGAGCCAAGAGTCCAACTTGGTAGCTGGTGAATAGCAGCCCTGTAATATAGTTGATAAATGAGGTCCAGCCGGCCTCGGTCCCTGAGCTGTCAGATGGGCCAGTGACACCTCTCCGCTGAATGGCGCGCTCGTGAGAGGACTGTACCCTGTCTCCTCCCTGCTTCTTCCTTGAATTAAAGACGTGGCAGATTCCCAGGATCATTTCCTGTTGCGGTTGTTTGCAGGAAATCCCTGCTGTCTTGGTTCATGAGATGAGACACGACGAAGCAAAATATCGAAGGCAGGCAGATCCTGGCAGCGTGCCAGGGCTCCTGGGCTGGGAAGGTTGGCACACTCGTACGGGGCCCCGCCTCTCTTTCCCCATAGTTGCTCCTCACCCTGAGAAAATAAGGCAGAGTCCAAATTGCAGGAGTAGGTTGCATGTGGGGTGGGCCAGCCCTGCAAGCCAAGAGTAGTACCTCCCTTCCCAGGCCACCAGCCTAGAACCTCCTTCTAGGAGGCTGACCTCCACCAGCACCGGGCTCACCTGGGATTGTGAAAGCTCTTGGAAGACACTTCGTCTCCTCTTGGCCTTTTAACCCTGCGGCCGTTCAAGGAGGGAGAGTCTAGGGAACTACAGCATGTGGGCAAGGCACCAGCCAGGAGGCAGGAGCAGGTGCGGACTCCACGCGAGGCTCTGCGTCTGTCCCCGAGATAGGAAGAAGGGGGCCTGTTGCTAACTGGCACAAGGTGCTCCATGGGTTGCCAGCAGCCCTGCTGGGCCCGTACTCGCTTCTTTCCTGTGGAAGGATCCAGAATGAAGAGGGGTAGGGAAAGGATCTTGGTGGTTCACTGCTTCCCTCTAGAGCTTCTTACAACCCTCTCATCTGCGCCCCCTGCCGTATCCTGCCCTGACCGTTTCTCTTGAGAACCTTAGGTAGAGACAGACATGTGTTACACGGAAGCCAGAAGGGGAAACTAACAACTGAAATGAGCCCAGTGTGCTCTCGCCTGCCTGTGTGTGCACGTGTGTTCCTGTGTGTTCTCATCCGGGGACGGAGGACACGCGCGTACACACGACGTCTGCAGCTCCTCAGAGAGCAGAAGCTCAGATGAGCTGGGAAGCCCATTAAGGGAAAATACATAGCCTGACTTGGAAGTACTTGCATTTGCCTTGTGTGTCCTGGTCCCCCTTCCCCGTGCCCTCAGTGCCCTGGGTTGTCACTTTCCTCTGGCCACAGCCACATTCACTTCACGTTCAGTGAAAGTAGCTCATCTGGGGGCTGGGAGGAGCCAAAGGAGACAGTGGACGTGAGACAGCAGCCCGGCTGCCCACGCTTCAGCCAGCGGCCTGCTGAGGGTCCATTCTCTCCCCGGGCCTCTTTGTTCCGCTCTGGGCGCCGGCCTCGGTCGGACCCGGGTCTGTCGCGGCCTTTCCTGACACTCCACACGGGGCACCACGACACGCACAAAGACTTTGTCTTCAGCCTACCCTCACCAGGGACTGTCCCAGGGCCAAAAGAAACTGAGGAGGAAAGATACCTAGGCAGGGAAATTGGCACGTGCTCCCTTTCCACTTTCATCCAGCATGTTCCCAGAAGCTGCCTGAGGATCGGCCACGCAGCTTGCAGCCCCAGTGCTGGATGAGAAATGTCGGCTGTGATCCTGAAGCCTCATGGGCTGGGAGGTGGGCCAGCACGTGCAGACAAGGTTCAGGATTACTTTAGGGCAAGAGGTTGGGACCAGGACGGAGCTGGCCGTGCCTCCCGGCAGACGGCCGGCAGGAGGCAGGTGCTACAGGGCTGGAGTCCGAGATCCGCACTCGTAGTGAGACCCTCTCCAAAGTGTGTCGGTTCTGCAGAAGTGCAGGGGCTAGCATGTTCTCCAGCACACCTCTTTGGGCTTTGCAAAAGTCCGTGTGTCTAGGAGTTGCCTTTGGGACATACTGCCTTTCCCTTGAGTTGAGCTGTTCTGAGTGATCCTGGCTCTTGGCTTCCCAGGGCAACAGAGTGGGAGAGAACCAGCCATGAGTCAGACTACCAGGGTCTAAGCCCGACTCCGCAGTGTCCCAGCTGTGGATTGTGGACAAGCGACCCCCACCCCCATCTAAGCCTCAGTTTTTGCTTCTGTAAAATAAGGTTAACAACTACCTCAGTTAGTCCTTGTGAGATCTGTAAGGCTTAGCTTCCAGTAGCTCATGAATAAATGACAGACTTTCCCTCCCCTTCCTTCCACTTGCTATTGTTAATGTCTGGGTTATTTTGCCTTCACTTGGGTTTTGACAAACAACTTTGATCAATGACTTGAAGGACCATACCCAGTAGTTTTAAATCCTTTCAAAAAGAGGAGGGATTGATTTAAAATAATCAACAGATATTTAGTGAACACACTGTGCTTCAGAGTAAAAAGAACTGCAAGAGACCCTTCTGGAGGTTGAAATTACTGACTTGATTGAGATCTTTTAATTATGGGTAGATTTCAGTTATCTTTGCATTTCCTGATACTGGATGGAGCTTCTGGCTAATTGAGAATTCATCACAGATTTTTTTTATTTTTTTTAATTGCTAGTTCTGGATCTAGTGCTACAGAGGAAAACAAATAGAGTCCATCAGTTTTCTGTGTTCCCAGAAAGGAGCCTCACGAGTCACGGCTCGTGCACCAGAGCCCCCCTGGAGGCTCCATTCTGAGCACAAAGACAACGGGGGGGTCGGTTCTGGAGGCCCCGCTGCCTTCTGAGAAACTCTCCTTTTCGAACACACATCTCCCCAACTGGGGCCATAGTCACTCCCACACGGAAATGAATATACGGACTCCGTCAGAGCTTCTATTTTTATCTTATTCCTGGACACCAGATGCAAAGAATTGGGTTAATCATACATTTAAGTCCATTCCACAGTTTCTATCGCCATCAGCCTATATAGATCCCTGTTCTATTTTATCCCACAGGTTTGTACAAAGTGCCAGACACTTCCCATGAGCCCTGCACTATTCAGCACTTTGAAAATTATCTCCTTTAATCATCGCAACGACCTCATCTGTTGCTGCCTAACAAACCACCCGAACGGAGTGGTGTAAAACGACCACTTTATTCCAGCCGGGCAGTCCACAGGCAGCCTCCTCTGGTCGCACTTGGGTGTCTCAGACATTCAGGTGGCCCAGGAGCCCCTCCTGTGGCCTGTCTCTTTTTTTTTTTTTAATTTTTTTTTTTTATCCTCACCCGAGGACATTTTTTCGTTTTTTTGTTCAGATAGAGTGGGAGGGAGAGAGGAAGAGAGAGAGAGAAAGAGAAGAGAAACATCGACATAAAAGGGACACATCGAGTGGTTGCCACCCGTACAACCCAACCAGGGCTGGGGACAAACTGCAACCGAGGTATGTGACCTTAGCAGGAACTGAACCCTGGTCTCTCTGGACTGTCGGGCGACGCTCTAACCGCTGAGCCAAACCGGCCAGGGCTGTGGCCTGTCTCTTCACATGGCATCTTAGTGACAAGGTTCCCTCTCTTCACATGGTTGCTCAAGGCTCCAAGAGGGAAGAAGCATTTGTCCTAATTAATGCAGAAGCTTGGAAATCC